CTACTATATATATATATATATATATATATATATATATAGTCCTAATCATGAGTTTCGACATTTTTCTAATAACAAAATAGTATTTTATTCATTAACCTATTTTTGCATTGTAAAAGTTGTTGCATTTGGATATATGTATAAATCTGTCCATATCAATGAGTCTGTTGAAATCCATTGTACTTGATTCGATACATGTTAAAAGCTTATTACTATTTTTAAAACGTCATATCTAGAGCATTTGATGATAAAGTCAAATTCATCTTCCATTTGCTTTGGACAAAATGGACAGAACCTTTGGTCGGGGGCTATGTTATAATGTGTGCAATGCACTATTCAATCCCTGGAAACTAAATCTCAGGCTTACCAGTAAAAATTAAGAAAAAATAATGAATATGACTATGACTATGATTAAGCGGTTTATCATGTGACTAAGACCAAAGTTCCTGTTTGGTTTGTGTCTCGAATACGATACGTTAAACTTGGGGTCTTTGTATTCTTCTTTGCCTATGCCAGTGGATTGTGGAGCTCCACCAGCGCCAGCCTGCGCGAATTTAGATAACTGTGACGGTGCGGGTCCCCCATACAAGCATGGGACGGAATGTACCTACGAATGCAAACAGGACGGGTGTACTGACATTGGAGGAAACAAGGATCTGACCTGTGATGATGGAAACTGGCTCGGAGTCGTCCTGGGCTGTAAAAGTACGTATGCCACACTGCCTACCATTTGCTGTTTTCATGGTTCAACCATGTATGTGAAATCTTCTCTGGAAGGGGCTTCCTATTTAGAAACCGTCGGGAATCCCTACATTGCTAGACTGAAATCCAAATCTGTCCCAAAATCTGCCTAAGGCTAGGATTTAATTATGCAGACAGTATTGGAACATTGGGTTTTCATCTGTTTGTTAATCATGCATCATAATCTGGTTCCGCCGATGAACTACTAAATTTGAAGATTTCCAGTCTGATGATGTTTGAAAAACACAGGCGACGATATTGTGTTTATCTGTTCTGTACTGGTTACATCGTTCTTTTCATATACATACACACGTAACTTTAAAAGCAAATCTTCTGCTACAGTACGAGGAAAGCTGCCATGGGTCCAAACTGAGTTATCCCTAGACTTCTTTGACCACTTTTTGTGGGTTTCCAAAGGACAAGCCTGGATGCTATAATGTCATGATGGGCAAGCAGATTCTACAGTAGGCGGCGGCCGCCAGGAGTGCGATTTAGTCAGGCTAGGGATCCTTAGATGTGGAATTTGATCCGACCCAAATTTTCCTTCATCGCGCAGCATTATTATTGTTTTGGACGTGTCTGTCTGTCTGTCTGTGCCTGTTTCCGCACATTTGTGGTCAGCATAACTTCAGAACGCCTTTGTGGATTGTGATGATATTTGGTATATTGGTAGGTCGTAGGAAGACAAAGGTCAAGGTCAAATATGGGCCTCCTGTTGGCTGACCTTGGTACTGCAGCAGAATTTCCGGTTTTTGTATCTTTTGTCCAGAACACAGTTAAATGCAAATTATGCAAATGAAGACTTAATTTGCATAATTTAGGAGAAAATTCTGTTTAAAATTCCCCAAAATACATTTGACGTTACATAAATTCTACATATTTAATGGAGGGATTCTTGTTCTTGTTTGGTTTACCTAGAATGAGATAATTTTTTTTTGCATTTTTCCTTTTCCCAAATGTTCTTTCCTGCCACTTTCAGAGGATTGTGATCCACCACCAACGCCAGACGACACCTCCCACAACGGCTGTGCCGCCCCCTACATACATAATGAGGTGTGTACCTACCAATGCGACGACGGTTTCAGTAAAACCGGCGGAGACAAACAGCTGACATGTGACGATGGAAAGTGGGACGGGGAGGAACTGGAATGTAAAGGTGCGTACCATTACCTCACGTCTCAATATATGGATGTAATAGATCCTCTGGAGGAGGCTTTCTTTTCTACGACCATTAGGAATCTATGAATCGCAAGGTCTTCCCTTGAGACTTGCTCAAGCAGTGTTCAAGTATTGGCTTATTGCTTGTACAAGACCTTATTCAATCCCTCACAACTAAATCTGAAGCTTTGTAGTCAAACCTGGTACATGTATTGAATTAAAACGAAAACGAACATGAGTATAACTCCTTATCAGTTTCTCTCTATAATTAGGAAAAATGTCAGATTTAAAAAGTGGTCCCCCTGGAATGTATAAAGGTACGTCCTGTGTACAGCGCCTGCCATTTCCTGGTGGTTTTCTGTAACTGCGCAAAGCCTCCATTCACGCCATGTATGAGATGTCTTATTTGGAAGAGGTTTTTGCAACGGCTGGGGACCCTTTAATAATAGATTGTTTAAAATAGGACTTTGATCTGTCCCAAATTGTCTTTGTTTATTTCGATCCCCATTAGTGCTTAAAAGCACTATTCTTCCTGGTGTCAGTAAAATGAAACATAAATAACAAAACTTGTACATAATGATGATTACAAAATAATAAAGTAAGTTCAGAAACAATAGGAGTCAATAGCAGTCACGAAGCGTTAAGATATTGGGCTTTAGTGTATTAGATATAACATCCCTGATCCATGGCTGCCAAAAAATCTAAATTCCAGGCAAACCTGGCAATGAATTTGAAAACTGAACATGAGATGACCCGCTGCTTGACAATGTTAACTACGACCACATTAGTTGAATTTTCTTATTTGTTTTATCTAGAATGAGATGATTTTGTTTTGATTTTTTTCCTCTTCCCAAATGTTCTTTCCTGCCACTTTCAGAGGATTGTGATCCACCACCAACGCCAGACGATACCTCCCATAACGGTTGTGAAGACCCCTACATACATGATACAGAGTGTGACTACGTATGCGACGCCGGTTTCAGTAAAACCGGCGGCGACGACAGTCTGACCTGCAATGATGGAAACTGGGACGGGGAAGAACTGGAATGTAAAGGTACGTACGATTTCCTGACTGTCCTCACGTCTCAATATATGCCGTGGATGCATACATGTGATATCTCCTCTGGAAGAGGCTTTCTTTTCTTCAACGACTAGGAATCCTTGAATCACAAGCTCTTCCCTTGAGGCAAGACTTACTCACGCAGTGTTCAAATATTGGGCTATTGCTTGTACGAGGCCTTATTCAATCCCTTCTCAACTTAGTCTGAAGCTTTGTAGTCAAACCTGCCTGGATTGAGAGAGAGAGAGAGAGAGAGAGAGAGAGAGAGAGAGAGAGAGAGAGAGAGAATACTCAAACCTGGTATTGAATTTAAAAAAACGAACATAACGACTCGTTCAGTCTCTGTGTATAATTAGAAATAATGTCAACTTTGAAAAGTGGTCCCCCTGGAATGTATATAAAAAAGGTACGTCCTGTGTACAGCGCCTGCCATTTCCTGGGGCGTTTTCAGTAACTGCGCAAAGCCTCCATTCACGCCATGTATGAGATGTCTTCTCTGGAAGAGGTTTTCGCAACGACTGGGGATCCTTAAATAATAGATTGTTTAAAATAGGACTTTGATCTGTCCCAAATTGTCTTTGTTTGTTTATTTCGATCCCCATTAGGCCACACCGACTTAATTTTATGGATGACATCCTAAGAAGACCCCCAAACTAGTGCGCGCGGGCGAACAAAATAAAAATCCGGCCAAAAATAAAAATGCTACTAAACCACAGTAATACAAAGCTGGTGTTGGCGCATTACTATAATTTAGCGCATTACATAGCGACGTATAGAACAGGCCAGCACATGCTGTTTTTTGTGGAATTTATGAATCGACACTGTACGTATGTACTGAGTTCTTGAGTCATGGAGCTTCGGCAGCCTGGGTGCCCGGCTCCGTATTGTCGCTAACCACCATGGACTACCCAGGCCTAAAGCCAGGCCAGAGCCTCGGAAGACGTGATCTTTTTTTTTTTTGAGATCAGGCGAAAATTAATGCGCGCGCGGATGTCATCCATAAAATTAAGTCGTTGTGGCCTTAGTGCTTAAAAGCACTATTCTTCCTGGTGTCAGTAAAATGAAACATAAATAACAAAACTTGTACATAATAATGATTACAAAATAATAAAGTAAGTTCAGAAACAATAGGAGTCAATAGCAGTCATGAAGATATTGGGCTATAGTGTATTAGATATAACATCCCTGATTCATGGCTGCCAAAAAATCTAAATTCCAGGCAAACCTGGCAATGAATTTGAAAACTGAACATGAGATGACCCGCTGCTTGACAATGTTAACTACGACCACATTAATTGAATTTTCTTGTTTGTTTCATCTAGAATGAGATGATTTTGTTTTAATTTTTTCCTCTTCCCAAATGTTCTTTCCTGCCACTTTCAGAGGATTGTGATCCACCACCAACGCCAGACGATACCTCCCATAACGGTTGTGACGACCCCTACATACATGATGAAGAGTGTGACTACGTATGCGACGCCGGTTTCAGTAAAACCGGCGGCGACGACAGTCTGACCTGCAATGATGGAAACTGGGACGGGGAAGAACTGGAATGTAAAGGTACGTACGATTTCCTGACTGTCCTCACGTCTCAATATATGCCGTGGATGCATACATGTGATATCTCCTCTGGAAGAGGCTTTCTTTTCTTCAACGACTAGGAATCCTTGAATCACAAGCTCTTCCCTTGAGGCAAGACTTACTCACGCAGTGTTCAAATATTGGGCTATTGCTTGTACGAGGCCTTATTCAATCCCTCACGACTAAATTTTGCCCTTTTCCCAATGTTCTTCCCTGTCAGAGGATTGTCAAGTCTTTGGTATTTCCTGTTAGATGTATCATGTTGAATGTCTTTTTCAAACACTGATCCTTGACTACTAAATATCAAGATTTTCAGTCAAACGTTGCGGATTTGATAAATGAACATGAGTATGACTCATCAGGTTGATAATGTAAACGTCGACCGAATTCTGATTTGTTTTGAAACTTGTGTTTTTGGCAAGTTGTCTTCTATTCCATGTACTTCCAGAGGACTGTGGGGCACCACCAATG